ATGGTAAATGACAGATAGAAGGCGCAAAGATGTCACAAACCTGAGTGAATATGCCTTTTGCCTTGGCAATTTTCAACCTTGTTGCAATTTCTCTAGCTGCAAAGCTGTCTGCGATGGAGACAACAACACAACCGGCTAATATGATTGCGAGATAGATAATCACTGCATCAACTGTCATTGGCATATCAATTGCGATTGTGTCACCCTTTGCAAAACTCCCACTTATCGCATTTGCCACCAACCTATGCATCAAAACAAAAGTGAAGGAGCAGAGAGATCAAACACCAATGGAAGCTTAACAATGAGATAACACAATTAAAGAATGATTCAAACTCCATACGTTACTCTCTCTCGGAGTTCTTTTAAGGTCATTCGATTGGCTGGAGAATCATCAAAGCCTTCATCTCTCCATACAACAGCCACACTATCATCCTCCTTTTTGGGATGGCTTGAAGGCATTATACAACATTCGGCGATATTAAGAACTGAACCAGGAAGCCATGTCCCTCCAGGCTTTGATCTATCGAGGATGCACCTCGGAGGAGTGTGAAACACAAGTGAAAGCTCGTCGAAAATGATTGACCAATAAACCTGAAGAAATAGAAGAAGAAGTAAAATTAAGACCCAAAACAGAGCTTTCTCCACAGAGTCCATCTTTGAGTCTCTCAATGCTTACTTCAGGGTTTTTAGCTGAGAATTTCTGGAAAAGATCAAAACTTTCTAATGGGTTCTTGTATGAAGCACCAAGAAGCCTTGACCCGTGAGTCTCCATCAATTTCCCCAAATTTGTGGATTTTGAGTGAGATCTAAACCACACACACAAAGAACAAACAGATAGACACTCAGCATTTCAGACAATCTGCTGTATCTTGATGTTAAATTTCAGAAACTTGAGTTAAAAGTTCATGTGAGAGAGACTTACGGAGAAGGAAACCAATAGAGAGGAGGGCCTTGAAGTGAGGAATCCCAATTTGAATAGACAGAGTAGTAGAGAAGCTGATGCAGAGGATGAGGATGCCATGGCTTAAGCACACTCTCATCCACAAAACCCTTCCATTGATCTCTTGGATCAGTCCCTTTGGATCTTGAAATCACATCTCTCACCACTCTGTCAAATCTCTTAGCGTCTTCCAAACTCAATCCAGCTTTCACATAGTCCTCACAACTCAATTCTCCTATGCTCTTCCACATCTCTCTCCCTCTCTCACTCTCTCACTCTCTTCGAAATTATCGCCTTTTGATTGGTGGTAGGTAGATAGATTTCGTGGACAAGGTCTCAGTATCATGTTTTGCCACTGTTTATTAAAAAGGTCTCATTTAAATGACTATCTTTATGAACCAAACCCAATTCTTCAGTTAAATTCGGACCATAGTCTTTGGCGTTGCAGAGTTTCTTCTTGAGTCCTCAAAGAAACCAATCTTGGCCGTCAGTGACGGCGCTAACCTTACTCCTCCGGTCGGGGTCACCGTAAACGCGGCATCTTGATTCGATCAATGTATAACCAAAAGATAAAAAAAAACAGAGGATCTGTATTTGTCCTAATAAGCCCGTATTTAATCTTTTTTTCATAGTAAGTCCAGATTTAGTCTTTTTTCATAATAAAACCAGATTTAATCCTTAAATAACATGTTCGCAAAATACTCTCATGGATCATCAAAACATAAAATGCCAGCATAAATCTCAACTGTCTTAACTTTCTTGGGAGTTGGGGATAAGAAAGAAGAGAGCCATAACCTAGAGAAGGCTAATAAAAGAGTGAAGAATAATATATCACTGGCTTGGTGAACGGTCTTCATACTTCTCCCCACGCGGGCTGCGGCTTCTGGCTGGTTCAGGTGTGTAGCTCCTGCTTCTCCTAGGGCTCGGGCTCCTGTTTCTCCTTGGGCTCGGACTCCTGCTTCTTCTTGGGCTCCGGCTTACGCTTCTTCTTGGGCTCGGGCTAATGCTTCTTCTTGGGCTACGGCTTATGCTGCGGCTCTTACCCCTTGAGCCGTTGTAGGCGGGTGAGCGCGAGTATGACCTCCCTCTCTCATTTCGTTCTTCCCTGGGAGAGACAGACCTGCGACAATAGAGAGTTGGTGAGCATCGAGAATGGTTATATGTCCACAAAAATATCTTGAGTTCAGACAGAACACGTAGAAACCTTGGGTGATGTCTTCTAGGGGGAGGAGAGTAGTAATCACCGCTCCGTGACCGAGATCTACCACGTCGAAGGGGAGGAGATCGAGAATACCTAGGCGAGCGAGAGTAGTAGCGAGGTGGACTACGCCTTGTATCCCGAAACCTGCTGCTCCTGCAAACACACAAGAACGTTTAAAGATTGGACTTATCGTTATTTGATGATGAAACAAAAAGGTTCAAGAACAGAGCAGCTCCACGCACCTTCCTCCACCACGCTCCCTTAATCTCATTTCAGTTGGTTTCTTCCTGTTCTCTTCTGCAAACACGACAGTCAACTCACGACCAAGAAGAAGATAACCATCCATGTGATATTTTGCCTCTGCAGCATCAGCAGGATCCACAAATTGAACGAAACCAAACCCTCGCGGATCTCTGCATTTCACATATAGAGCAAAACAGGATCTCAGACAAGGAACCAAACATACAATATCACAAGGAAGATGTACCACTTCACAACAAGCCTGTTGAAGGAAAATTGGCAATATGAGATCCCCTGCAACAGAAGATAGTCAGGATAAACATGGAAAAAGCAAGCACTTGCCTGCTAACCTCGCAAGTTTCAGTACAAAGATGACTTCTTGAAGAGACTTGATTCATCTTCAAATTGAAAACAAACCCAACTTCACTTCAACTCTTCACTACCATATAGAACATCTTCAGAAGAACTCTAATTACTTCTTTGATGTCTTCAATTCCTAGATTCACTGTTAAACCTCAACAACTTCAATCAACACACTCATAGTGTGTTCACACATGGGACATATCAACAATTGTATCCTTCTACTTAAGCGACTAAAAAGTATGAGGTCTCAACAGGTAACTAAATTAAAACTGACTAATCTAAGCCCTTTATTCACCTTGAAAACTAGTGGTTTAAAACTTCAAATGGAGATCTCATGTCATAAGGAAACTATGAATGAAATAGAGGCTAATTTGAATTTATGAAACAAGAGCATATTAGAACATTCTCCTAAGGCCCTCGTATATCCACGAGGAGACACACAGAAATGAAAGAATGGAAAAGGAAAGGGAAATAAACGTAGAAAACAAGGATCCAAGACAGGTGATAAAGAAGATGAAAAAAAAAAACAGAGCTACAATATAATCAGAACATAAGAATCCCATCTACTAAACATACTCACCCAGTATAATAATCCCTTGGCAAGTAAATGTCCTTGAGGGGACCGAACGGCTCGAATGCCCTCCTGAGATCGTCTTGCCTGAAGAAAAGGATGATGAGATGTAAGAAAAGATGTAGAATTTGCTTAAAAGCCAGAAAATGAATACAGATTGGAGTCATATCCAACAAAACGTAGTTATCAAGACAGCTCTGAGGAGACACATCAACTTTCTACGAGGTGTCATGACTCAAAGCTTCAGACGTGTCCAAACAATTACATCGTCCTAAGAGGAGCCAAGTACGTACCTGCAATCATGGCGCAGATTGCGAACCAAAAGGCTGGTGGGGAGGTCCCTGCTGCGACCTCCATATCGGCCTCTAGGGCTTGGGCTTCGATCCCTCCTCCCATAACCCCTTGGTGGTGACGGAGTGTAGCTCCTTCCCCTCATCGAGTTCAAGCTTCAAACTCTCTCTATTAGTCAATCAACAGAATCCAAGGTTAGAATATGAACCAGACGTTTAAGAAACAAGTGACCACAAACACAAGAGCCATATAACAAAGAAGCGTCCAAGACAAGTACAAAGAAGCATTCAATCTGGCTTGAAATCACCAAATCCAATCCCCACATGTGGAAAAAAACATACAAGTTTACAAATTTCAGAACTTACTGGGCCACATCTTACAGAGAAAGATCATATTTTTTTTTTCCAAATGAGAACTAAATTATATCAAAAGGGATCGATACTAAGTGAGATCGCAAACAGTTCAGATGGAGAAAGAACCAGCTCAGAAACGTAATAAATGCATAGCCACACAAAAAAGAGACAAATTTCGTCGATTCAATCCTTAAAAATCGATCAAAATACAGAATTTTTAATATTATTTCAATGTACCGACGAACAAATAGACTGATCTACGGCGTCTTTCGCTACAAATTCCTTCCGACTAAGAAAAACACGGAATCGTGGCCGGAGAAGGAGAGGCCCAGATTATTCGACAAACAGAAACGAGGGTAAGGGTATAACGGTAGGAAGAAGATAAATCATCAGGGAGAAGACTTACCCCGCGAGCGAAAGTCGGTGGTGACGAACGGCGGCGATAGAAGAAGAGGATAAAGGATGATTGATGTTTAAGAAGTGGAGCGGATGGATTAATTTTGATCATTATAAGCGAGTTAAAAGTGGTTTATATATTACTCGTTTTTACATTTTGACCCCTAAACCATTTCTAAATACTGTTTTTGGCCACAAACTCTCTATAGATCAAAAGATCACCTTCAAAGATTTAAATTGGTATCCATATTCCACCTTCTAAAGATTGTGGGAGTCTGATTTTGGTTGTTTTCATGTTCATGATGGTGTTATCAACCCATAACACATCTAGAGGAAGAAAATAAAAACCAATGAAACAGTATATTTGGTGGTAAGTTTATTATGTTGCTCACAAAATGAAATCTCAAAACTTAAGGAGGGGGAAAAGAATAAATAATAAAAAGAACCACTGATTCTTCTAGAAGGTTTTATCATGTCTCTCTCTCTCTCTCTTCCAACTTTTGATTTTCTTACATAAACAAAGTTAAAAGAGGCTTTGGTGTTTTCAATAAAGAGATTCTCGTCTCTTTTCCTCTCTCTCGACTTATTAGCTACAATCTGCATAAATCCGAGTCTGGGTTCAAGAAAAACCGTTGCGAGCCTCTAATGGAGGAGCAGTTCATACTTAGGGTTCCACCGTCTGTTTCAGAGCGAATTGATCGGCTTTTGAGCGAAGAGGCTTCTACTTCCGACGAAATCCCTTTAGATTTGTGTTTCTCAGGTTGGGTTCCAAGCGGTTTGTCTCTTTTTGATTAATTCCACAAAGTTTCATCCTTTTTGATTCATAGATATGTGTCCTTTAATCGCGGATTGAGATTTGATACTCAGTACTGAAAAATTCGCTGATAAGTTGTTGAATGTTTGATAGAGAAACCCCCAAAAAGACCTTCTTGTCGCATCATTCTTGAATCTGATTTAAGGATTCAATGTAAATTAGATGTTTTTGTCAAAAACAGATTCTTGCTGCCATCGTTCTTGAATCTGATTTTTAAGGATTTTAAAAAGTTGGTCTAGGAAACAATAATCCATTTTGCAAACTTGAAGATGGTTTGTGTTTTGGATTTTGCAGAGGACGGAAGAAGCGGGACGTTTGTAATTGGGAACGAGGAGTTTCCGGCATCTCTGCTTGACCTTCCTGCTGTTGTTGAGTCCTTCAAAACCTATGACGACTGTGCATTAGTCAAAACTGCTGATATTGGTCAGGTAATATCAATTCCATCTTGAATGCTTTGATGCAATGTAGCTGTTTTTGGAACTCGCTGATGCTTTGTCTCTTCTTTGATGTGGCTGGCTCACAGATGATCATGGTCAGGGAGCAAGGTGATCCCGCGCCTAGTACAGTTGAATACAGACATGGTCTAACTCCTCCAATGAAGGATGCTCGGAAGAGAAGATTCCGTCGAGAGCCTGACCTTAATGTAATTTGAAACTTGTTATTATGTTATCAATCATCGCCATTGCTTGCATCTGCTAGATTGAAAGACATATTGATTGTCAAAATGTTGCAGCCGGAGCTTGTACAGCGGGTGGAGAAAGACTTGCTGAACATCTTGAGTGGCGGAACAGTCGAAAACGTAAGCTTTGTGTGCTCTGATTGGCTGATTGAATTTGAATTTCAACTTTTTATATACCTCAACCTTTTTTTGGGTGTGTGTTTAGGTAAACGAGCAAGAGGAAACAGTTGCGAACGAGAATACAAGTAATGGGAACAAGAAAGTCTCTGCATCTTCACCTGCTACACCTGTTGAAAAGCCTGAAGCTCCTGAGACGGAGAGGAGCAATGTCAATGATAATAATAATAATCCAGCGGAAGTAGGGCCGGAGAGAAGTGAGTCAGAAGATTCTGATGATTCAATGTGAGGTTGCTATATGAAAGAGAGGGTTTCTTTTTTCTTCTTCTTCTTACGAACAGATATAGATCAGGTTATGTCCTAGCGACAAAATCATGTCCACGATTAGAGATGATGTCTTGTCTTGTACTTCAACCAAACAAGTTGGTAAAAAAAAACGGTTTCTGTTAAGTAGACGAATTTATCAAGTACACGTGGAATCCTTTCGTATGCTGACCATCACACTTGTCCCATGTATAAATCATATGAAGTTTCTATGGATCCCATTCGGTATCAGTGCCTTTCCCCAAAACAGAACCAGCAGCTGGCAGATCATTCTTCTCAATGGCTTGTCCTACTTTGCTTAACTTGTAAACAAGATCCTGCAAACACACTAAATGCTTTTAGGTTTGGGAACCAAGACCCCCATGAAGATAAGGGAACACACAACTAGATTAGAGTTAACACTGGAACAAGCCAATAAAACCAAGCAGACCATAACACAAAGTAAAAGCACATTTGTCCCCAAAAGAATAATACTTTTCCATCAATTTGTTCTGATTACTTCATGTTGCATTGGAAGAAGATTAAGGGAACAAAACCAGTAGCCATTTAACTATGAAGACAACAACCACAAAGCGATAAACAAGCCAATTAACTATGAAGACTAGAGTAACATGTTTCATTCTTCAAGTTATTGTTACCTCAAAGTCTGAATAATAGTATTTCTAGGTTTTGCTAAACACAACCAAGCATTTGCAAACTTCACAGCGCATAGACATAATAACAAAAAGATGAAAGATTGATTGTTTCAGTGAAACTTTAAGGAAATGTCAAGAAGTACCCTTTTCCTTGACGGCAGAATTAAGAACAGCTTGTCTCTCGATCCTCTTTTTTCGATCTTGCTTCACTTTCTCCAGAAGCTCTTGTTGATGATGGTGATGATGAATTTGATGATAAGGTAAGGTCCTCTCGCTACACTTGTTGCGTTGTATTGTTTTCCTCCAATCACTCACTCTCCCCGATTTTTCATTTATTTTCTTCTTCACCCACAATTTTGCAATCTTGAAACTTTTACCATAAAGAAGAGCTATTTGCTCCAGTTCATCGACTAATCTATGTAGTGGTCCTGACAATGTCCCTTTTTCAACAGGATCGCCGATTTTGACTTGTTTGTATGAAATAAAGAGCTGCTCGAGTAACTTTGTCGTAAACACTCTCATGCAAAAGCTTTCAAGACAATTAAAGAACATCTTAAGGCGTTACGGCAAAAAGAACAGCAAGAGTATCAAAAGCGCGCTGTGATAGGAATAGATTATTGTACCAGCCCACGGCAAGTTGTGCAACGTTGACCAGCGGTTCCAACCGCAGCAAACAGAACATAACATGTCAAGTTAGCTGCTCGTTCTTTTGCAAATAACTTGCAAGCCAAGTTAGGTCATGTGAATTCCTTATCATATGCCTGTCTTGTCTTATTATATAAAATATATAAACCCAAGGAGCCGTTGCTTTCTTGTTCTGGTTTTACTTAAATTTTTCATTGTGTTAATTTTAATGATTTGTTCTGATTCAGAAATGCAAGCAAGGAAAGCCATAGTCTGCGGACTCTCAGCGAAAGAAATCATACCACCACTTCACCAAAACACCCAACAAGCAAATGATAATCAAGCAAGGAGACTCATCATTTGCAGACTCCCGGCAAAGGGAATCATACTTCAGCTCCACCATCAGGCACGACAAGAAGTAGATGATGATCAAGGACGTGATGAAGAAGCAGATGATGATCAAGGAAGTGATGAAGAAGCAGATGATGATCAAGGATGTGATTTGGAGGAGATCACATGAGAACAGTACTGGAGAGCTATGGGATACTTCATCCGCATTGAGGAAGATGACGAAGACATTGATCCAATGTTCCGCAGAGCTATTGAAAACATGCAAAACCATGCACGCAACTCTGCTCAACAGAAACGCCCCAATCAAGAGCAAGGAGAGTCCTCATGTGGCAAGGCTCATCGTCGAGACTAAGGAGCAGAAGCATAATGTATTAGTGAATTTCATTGTGAACTACCTTGTTTCTTCTAAAATATGTAATTTTGTAACATCAATTTTGTAATATATATTTTTTTTAAACTAAGTATTTTGAATTTGATTTTTAAATTAATTAGTTTTTTCTGTTTATAATAAATGTATTTAAATTAAATTAATATATAATATACTTATTAATATTTATTTTCAGAAAATTAGGGACAAAATCGCAGAAAATGTGATTCAACAAAAATGCTATGAAATGATATCTTTGAATATATGACATTTCTATAATGCTATTATACACCTAATTCATAACACTGAATAAATGTAATTGTATATGAAACTATTGCATACATTAAAATAATATCTTAAAAACACATACTGTAGCATTTACAAAAACGCTATCTAAAGTTCTAGATTTGTTATCGCAGGCGATGGCAGAGCGTTTTATTAAACGCTATCGTATAAATAAATAGCGTTTTTCTGGCGCCATTAATACTCGTTTTCCTGTAGTGGGTGTTCGCAAAAACATGATAGTTTATGGCAGCAACTGAAGCGGCTAAGCAAAGCAAGCCATATGCTTCAAGACCTACTTAGCGAGATCATTGGATGGAAGGCCGAGCAAATCATCATCAAGATAGACAACGAATCCGCAATGGCTCTCACCAAAAATCCCATGTTTCATGGTAAGAGTAAACACATTCACAAACGATATCATTTCATACGTTAATGTATTGAAAGAGATGATGTCGATGTGGAACATGTACAGGGAACTGAACAAAAAGCAGATATCCTAACCAAAGCATTGGCGCGGAACAAATTCAGAGAAATGAGAAGTCTAATTGGAGTTGAAGACATGTCAAGACCGTATTGAAGCTTAAAAGAGAGAATGTTGGATAAACTTCAAAGGAAATCTTCTATTATCATTAGGAAAAAGAAAGAGTAGTTTTCTATCTCCAATAATAATAAAAAAAGGAAATTAGCAAAGTTGTACTAAAATCTATATATATGATTGTCGAGCTATGGCAAATATATCAAAAACTTTGGATGTTAAGTTTTGAGTTATTTTCTAAACATAAATAAGAGATTTATTCTTATATTCAAAGTATTCTTGCGTGTTAGATCTTTTATTCATGTTGTATATGGCCAACATAATTAGCAGAATAACGTTTTTTCTACTCTCTTATACACATATTCAACATATAGTACCCAAGTTCAATTTTTTTTGTTAACTATAGTGAAAATTTTTAAATATCTAAGCAAGAATATCGTGGAAGTTGGTGTTTAATATTATGAATGATATATATAGTGAAAGCACGTTTTCAAAACGTGAAAACGTGAAAAAGATACATACCATTCAACTCTACTAACTTTTTAGCGTTTTGAGTTTACTGAGTTTTCAGTTTATTCATCCTATTGATTCCGCTAGTTTCTTATTCAGCTATTACACTATTTTACTATTAACTTGACATATCAGTCAAACCCTAAATGTATCTTAAGAATCTACTAAAAAATAGTGGAATCTATAATCTTCCTCTAATTTCTACATTCAACAACTTATCAGCGATTTTTTCAGTACTGAGGGGTTGAATGGTATGCAGTTTTTCACGTTTTTACATTTTGAAAACGTGATTTACTAAATATATACCATTCACAATATTAAGCACTGAATGATCAAACGTGAAAATTAACATGCTATTTTTCAATTTATTCCGCATGTTTTACATTTATAACTAATTTTGAGAAAAAAATCTATTCATTTAATAGATACTAGCTTTTTAGCGTTTTGAATGTATTCAGTTTTCAGTTTACATATCTTATTAATTCTGCTAATTTATTATTCAGTTATTGCGCTATTCAGCTATTAAATTGACGACCAGTCAAATCATGAATATTAAATCTCAATCCGCGAAAGGATCCATAGTAACATCCGATTAAAGGACACATATCTATAATATAAAAGATGATCGATCAACTCTCTCCAGTTGAGTGCCACGTTAGCACTAGAGAAAGTGACATATGTCATTTTAAAATTTATAATTAATTAATTTATTATTATGATGTAATTAAAGTTAGACCAATTAATTGTTTACTTTTTAATTGTGTGCTAATTAAAAATATATTTGTTTGGTTTTTATATGTTTGATAAATGTATATTTTAATTTATTGTGAATGTAATGAAAACCTCACAAAAATAATGAGAATAAAAATAAAATAAATTAAAATTTGTAGCGTGATATGTAACCGAAAAAATAGTGATTAGAAATGTTTAATTAGTCAGCGCCAAGAACAAATACGACCTGCTAAAAAAAGTCGTCTCTACTTATATTGTGTTTTGAAGAGTTTCTCTAATTACTTTTTGTTATATAGTACTTCTCTAATTTACAGTATATCTATTTAATTTATTTTATATATACAAGGCATAACATATTTCACATTTCATATTCAATAAACCGTTTATCACATATATAGTCAATATCTACATAATACGTATATATATATATTGCATGTTTATTCAAATACACAATATCTTTAAGTAAAATTTAAATATACACTAAAATAAATTATAACTAAACTTTTTAACAAATTATATTATAAAACAAAAATCTGCGCATGATGCGGATACTCATCTAATTTATGTAAAAAAGATGAATCTTTGTGGAATTAATTCCAATTTAATGTGTCAAAAGAGACAAACCGCTTTGAAATTCCAATTTTTATGCTATATATTTTGTTATTTTTCCTTTTGATAATGGTAACTTCATGTAAAAAAAAAATGTTTTGTTATAAATGATCAACTTTGTAACGTCATGGCCTTTATATATAATAAGATTTTTTACCCTAAACGGCGGATTATCTCTCTCTCTCTGGCTCCAAGGTTTCTTTCCGCTACTCGATGGGTTTGTGGTTCCGTCTATCGGTGATCAAACGGAAGAGAAGAGAGAGAAGAAGAAGACCGGAGAAGGGGACTCCTATGGGGTTGTCTAGGAAGAAGAGAAGAAGAAGAAGCCGACCGGAGATGGAGATTCCGATGGACGTGGTGACGGAGGAGATCCTCACGAGACTGCCTGTTAAATCCTTGATGAGATTCAAGTCCGTCTCAAAGCTTTGGTCATCGCTCATGAGCTCACGATATTTCAACAACCGTTTCATGACGGCCCCAATATCCCGACCGCATCGCGGAATTTACATGTGTTTGCAGGATTTCAGTGATTGCCGTAACTCTGTACTACTATCATTGGCTCCTGAAAATACTTGTTCCTTTGTAGTTGACCACGATCTGACCGTCACACGAAAGGGAGCGTACTTGCACCAAAATCTTGGTGGCTTCATGTGCTACGTCATGTTTGGAAGGCCGAGGATTTATAACCCTGCCACCAGAAAACTTGTCAGCTTACCCTCCCCCATCGAAGCTCTTCCAGATGAAGCCTCTAGAAATGTCCTCAAATGCTATTTCGGACACGACCCTGTTAACGGCCACTACACAATGCTCTTCTCAACTGGTGACTACTTGAACAATCCGCTAGGGATAATATCCTCCGTATGGTCAGAGCATAAAGTCTTTGTCATAAAACCTAAAAGAGGAGGTTCCTGGAAAAAGGTGGCTCCAACTCCACCGGGATTTCTTCCTCACATTCCGGCCGACGGAGGAGTGTGTGTCGATAGGTTATATATTACATTGGTTGGATTGATACTTATACTTGTATGCTTGTGAGTTTCCATCTTAGATCCCACGACTTCAAAACCATCAAATTACCTCGCAGGGAGCTGCCTGCAAAGGACACCAACAATTTGAGTATTATAGAGTATGGTGGCAAAGTAACTATCATTGACCAAACCAGTCTTAGAGACAAGGGTGTGCTGGATTTATGGTCTGTGGAAAACAATAAATGGTCGAGGAAGACTCTAGTTTTAAAACCTTCTCAGCTGCATTTGGTGGACAACAACACTATATTCTATGTCAGAGGTACTACTCAAGATGGCAATGTTTTCTTGATACCACAGGATTTGCTCTCTCCCTTTTACATTCTCTCTTATGATCTTAAAAGCAACGATATGAGAAAGATCGATATCAAAGGTGTGCCGGACCACTGGTTTAGTAAGAACAAATCCACCGTTGAGCTGATGTTAGCGGATCAGAGTGAGAGTCTCGCGTACTTGGAGACTTGAATCATTTTTTTTCTGACTTTTTGCATCTTCCTTTATTTATTTATATTGTGGTGTGTTTAGATTAATTAAGAAGACAACTACATTAGTTATATTTTAAAGAGTTATCGAGTCTCTTGTGTCAAGCATTCACCCTCTCTTTGATATACGAATTTGTTCGTGAGGTTGGATTGAATGGACCACCCAATTACTATCTTTCTTGGTAAGTGTCTCTGTGAGATGATATATATATTCCCTGAATATATATATATATATACATAGTATATACGTACACTTACAAAATTACTATATATGTTCACGCGTAAGGTTTTCTTCTTCTTAGCGGGTAAGGTCTTCTCCGGTCTTCTTTTTCTCTCTCTTCTCTTCCGTTTGATCACCGATAGACGGAACCACAAACCCATCGAGTAGCGGAAAGAAACCTTGGAGAGAGAGAGAGAGAGAGAGAGAGAGAGAGAGAGAGAGATAATCCGCCGTTTAGGGTAAAATCTTATGTTACAAAGTTAACCAATTATACAGTACTTTGGCATAATTAATATAATTACAATTACTTAATATAGTATTCTTTTTGACATAAAGTTGCCATCATAAAAGGAAAAATAACAAAACTTTAGCATAAGATTTCTTCTTTACCAAAAAGACAAAGAGAT